AAATTAAACTCTTAAGTAGTATGTATATTGTAATTTAATAAAAAGTAGAAATCATATTGAAGAGTGTAGTAAAAAGGCAAGAGATAACTTTCAATTAACTGCAGAGATAAGTGTCCAATCTTATACGCTTTTGTACACAAAAAGAAACCAAAACTTCGTACAACTTTTTTATTCTTTATAGAGCATTAAACATTTTATTTATGATGGAAACAACAATCATCTATAAGCTTCTACACATTATTACTTCCTGCCTCAAAAGCATTTTACTTAGAACTAACCTGCATTTTATATGAGCAAGAAAGCTACATGAAATTTTATTAATCCAGTTGAGTATCACAACATATATATCTGAATCCTCAATGGACAGCAAATAAAATTAAACCTAAAAAATCTACTTTAGAAGAAAAAAAAAAAAAAAATCCCCCCTTGCCCTTGCTTCAGCATGGGATCCACTTCAAGCATACAAGATAAAAAACCTTTATTCACTTTTTTTTCCCTACAGAATTTTCTGTTTGTTTCTGGTGTAAACAGACTACAGCATGAAAGTTTCCTATAACAGTGGTTTCCGTATCTTAAAGACTCATTATTTCACTATAAACCAATGGGAAGTGGAAGAGTTAGGATAAGGGGAGATAACACTGCCTCTTCCTGCATAAGCCACAAGTTACACATCCAGATAAAATCTTCTGCCTGGAGCCCAACCAGCTGTAACCTACCAGATTTTGTTTTTTTATTAATAGGTAAAAAGAACACAGTACTATCAAAAGAAATAATTTTATTTAGTCTCCTCCCAGTTTTTCTTATGGGTACATTGCATGTTTGGGTATCAACCTTAACTGATATGTAACACTGGGATTCAGCACAATAACGAATTAAATTCCTCTAATGTGAATATTTGTCTCATGGAGTCATAAGCAATGGATCTGTTTCACAACGTATCTTGTCATCCACAGATGACATAACAGCATCCATCTTGAAGAACAGTAATAATTTAAGAAAGAAAAGAGAGGTTACCTCTTTAAACTATAAACTACTGCAGCCAACTGCAAAACCTAGATTTCAGCTACCTACTGCTCTTAAACATCTGAAATGGTATTTCTGAATAAGAACTCATCTAAGCCAAATTCTGAATCTAGCCACTATTTCATATTCCCCAATAAAGAGCTTCCTATCTGGAAGGCTGAATTTGATGAGTTACACTTTGAGTCCCTGCATAAAAGCTGAACTCCTACAGACTGACTCCTTGCTAAGCTTCTTAAGCCCTTCAGTTTATCCACCTGCCTGCTCCAGAGCTTTTTCAGAAGTGAAGTTAGGCAGGGTATCTTCAGCCAGGGTATCAGGCACCACCATCTCATCAGTTTCAGAGGGGTTATACCTGTCTGCATCAGCTAGAAGTTTACATGTCACATCTCTCTGTTCACTGAATTAATACGTGTCCCAACATATTCAACTACTGCTAAGGAAACACAGAAGGGGCTCTACCACACCATTAAGACTGTGAAGTGGCCCTGTTCACTTCAATTAACCTAATAAAATAAAATAGCCAGCAGGACTAAAATGCAAACAGTGAGCTAACTGACCCTACAATATATAGAGAACTGCTGTGAGCATAACAAACCAGAAAGGTTTCAGACAAAAGATAACTGATGAAGAGTAAGAAGAAAGATGCGATCTAGTCCAGCCTCCAGAGATAAAACAACTGAAACAAACAACAAACGTTACCTCAACACTGTAATTGTACATGGAAAAAAGGCACAACTCCAAGCAAAAATCCTGTCATAGGAGGTTACATTAAACTTTCATCCTCCTTAAAGCTAGCATGCTTAATCCACAGCAACGGGGCTTGTAATAAGCCTAGTTCATTATAAACATTATAAAAGCTTTACCTACTTAGTGGTAGACCAGAGGAATGCTGAGAAGCTTGCCCAAGTTCTCAGAGTGGCTCAAAGAAGAACCACCTGCTGGAGACCACCTCTGTGCTTATAATAAACCTTAAGGATTTATGCTAAGATACAATTCTTAACTTCCACCATGAAATACTCAAACAGTCATTTTCACTAGAAAAGAAACAGGCTGGTGAGCACAGCAAACTGAAAAGAAAGTATCACCATTCAAGTAATTTCTGGCCTGAAAGACCAAGTAGCTGTTAGACTATTTCACTGCCTCGGAGTGCTTTGGCAGAAGTCTCTCACAAGACTTTTGGCCTTGTTATGAGATATTCTAATGTTGGGATCGTTCAAATAACAAATGAAAACTTTAATGAAAATCAGGATGCAATGCAGTAAGGAAAATTCACAGAAGCAGGAATAAATGAGGGCAGGATTAAAAACCTAAGGGAGAAAATCAGAATTAGTTACACCTCAAAAATAAGACTGGCAAAATGTTTTTTTTCTTTGGCTCACAGCTCTTCTCTCTGCATGAGATATGCTGACTTTGCAGCCAAAACTCAGTTTTTATTGTTTTTTATGTCCATGTGCAGTCTGGTGTCTAAAGAGCTGTAACAACTAAACTGGTTTAATTTTTGGCTAATGCCCCATGAACTAAGCGAATGCTACCTATAAGCCATTTCAGAAATCACATGTTAGTACACTATAAATGTTTCTGATTACTCATTTAATAGTTCTCAAGTGCTTCAGTCTTAAGCATTGATTCAGAGCCAAGCAGAAGAGGCACAAGTAGATTTCAAAACTCCTTGAAAATGCCCTTGCAGGGCATATGGTTAAAAGGGGAAAATACCATTTAACTTACAAAGTTTGAAACTTTGTACAAAGTTTGAATTTTACATAGTCTGAAACTTTAGTACCAGAAGGAAGAACACAATACTTAGTGAGTCACTTATAAAATCAGGATGGATTATGTGTACATATTTATACCTGTACTCACTGAGTGCCCTGCAAAACAAAACATGGGGAAATCAGGCTACAGAAAGCTTGCTGAACTTCAAAAACCAAATTATTAGATTCTTACAAAAGTCTCACATCTGGCTGAAAAACTAAGAAATAAATATAGTTAAATCAACTTTAAAAATTTAAGAGTAAGAAGGATGACATTTGCTTATTATGTATTACTTACAAAGGAACAGGTGCTAAAAGAATATACTTAGAAATACAAGTCTTAATTAAGACTTAACTGAATTATTACTTAAAGCAGTTTTACCAAAGAATTGCTGCAGTATAAATACAAGTCTATTCACTCCTTGAACATACTGCTCCCATAATAGGTTTTATTTATGGCATACAATTTCTCAAAACTTTTTACAGAGATCAGGAAATTCATGAGCCAATCACCACGAGCAGAACATATGCATCAGAGTAACTTATTGTCAACATAACTCGGTAGCATAACACAGCCATTTGCTATGACTTCTGCAGAGAGAGAGACTGAACTGATAACCATAGAGTGATTTTAATTTTAAACTTTTATTGCCTATTCAATTTAAATAAATCCTTTTAAGGGGAAAAAATAGGTCATGAAGTCCTTTTACTTGTTTCTACACTGACATTACAGGCTTGACTCAATTGTCCACACTCAGGTGTGCCTGGCCACCTGAGAGGCCCTTGGGGTGGCCAAGGGATCATTGAAGGACAGTAAAAGCACAGGACCTTAGGAAGGTCTGCATCTGTCCTGAACAGAAAGCCAGGTAACAGGCCATCTCAAAGGGCACTAGTTACCTATGTGGGGCCATCTGAACAGAGCTTCTACACCAGACTGCACTCTATTGTTGGATGCCCAAACCACACAGATGCACCTTCAGGTAAGCATGTGGGGTTGAGCACCAAGCACCCATTACTGTCAGTGGACTCAAGAGAGCTACTAAATTCATTCTACAGTCAACACCTAAATCTTATCACCTGAGCAGCTCCCCTGATTCCTCTGACTCAACACACAAATCTTCCATTGATAGTCAATGTAGCTCACACTACAGACACCTGAACCCAGATACCCAGTTAACAAGCCAAAGTCCACCCTAAAACTAGATGGGATGATTACCAATATAGGAACCACAGCTTGAGGCAAATAGTCTCAACTAAGTATTTCTAGATCAATAACCATTGTAGCATCTTTCACAGTCAATGCAGAAGACAAAGCCTTCAGAGCCTGATTCAGTTAAATGCTTGATTTTGGATAAGACTTATCCACAGCCACCCATATCGTCCAAAGCATACAGGAGCATACTCAATTTCTCTTAATGACAGCTGCAGCTAACTTATACAGCCATATGTTCATGCTGTCATTAGCTTTATTCCTTCTTCTGTCATGTTCGTGTATTTTTCATTTTCTACTTCTTTTCTAGTGAGTTATAAACCTTAACTTCCTCCCTTAATCACCTTCTTCAACAACACTTAACACAATATTAATGAGACCCCAGATGGTAAGAAAGCAAGAAAAGTGCTGTCTGATATTTATTTAAAACAAAAGCCAGAGCACACAGAACTACAAGTTCACCAGCACTGATCAGCCATCCGATGGATTCCAGTACCTGAGATCACCAAGAGGCCAACAAAACAGCACTACAGTCATGTTACAACTCTTCTTGGTGGGTGCTATACTTAGCAAAGTTTTAACACTACCTCAGATGTTGACAAATATGCCTTTAAAGATTTATAGCCCCATGATAATTCTGACTTTACAAAAAATGAAAAGCACCTTTTTTCAAACCTCAACAGATATACCAACAGTAAAGTTAGCATCAGTATTTCTTTGTCGGGAAGTTCTCTGTTTTAAGCCCTGGATGAAAACTGACAAGTTAGAACAACAAGTTTTGCAGGAGAAAAGATGGATAACAAAGGAGGCAAATACTTTAAAAACTACATGATCAGAAATGAAAAAAATCAATCATTTGTCAGCATTTATGTAATGAAGGAAGACTTGCATACATATAAAGAAACTCCACATCTGCCATGTATGAAGCCTGCTAAATTGTGAAAACACCAAAGAGGAGTGAAACACCAGACCAAAAATGCCAACCTCCTAATAACTAAATAACAGAATAAGATTACCTTGCTCCAATCTAAAGCATAGGGAACGTTTTGCAGCTTCTATCTCAGGAGTTGGATGATCCAGAACACGTCTGCACCACTGCAGAGGGCTCAGTGATTTCTCTTGAGGAGTGTGAGTCTTGGTAGGCAAGACGTACAACCTTAACGAAAACACACAGAAATATCAGCAAGATACACAATACTGCAAAGTTTGCTTCTGTATGCTCACTTTCCTATTAGATCACTAATAATTTATAACATCCAAAGCCCTGCAAGAGGGTATCAAATAAAAAGAAATATATCCTGAAGTAGAAGAGTTTACATCAGTTTCCTTTCTTCCCTCCTCAGAAAAATAGGTGGCAAATTATCAACTCTACACCTCTGGCACATCCAAAGTTCAAGTAGATTTCACATTAAAATCTCCTATCTAATCACTACCATTGTCTGAATTTTAGCACTGCTTGAAGTTCAAATCTATCAGGTGCTGTACAAACACCAAAGGTGTTCTTGCTTTTCCCTCTACTTATATTTACTGGAGATTTATATAATTTCAGCACCTGATTTTTATCTTCATATGGATGACCCACGTGTTGTTCAAGTCATATTTGTAATGATTGAAAACCATTAGATGAGAAACACTGAAAATCTATTTTCAACATTCAACACCAGCAGAAAAGGAAAAAAAAAGCACATATGCAAAAAAAGGTAGCGTATGTGCATTCTTCTCAGACAGGAGTTGGCAACTGATCAATTGCACATTAGGAAACCAGGTTTCAAAGCAGATTTCATGGGAGAATTCTTGAGGCTGAGATCTAGGTTGCTGCTGTCACCCTGGCAGATTAGCAGGCACAGCAGATGCCAACTCACCTGGGAGAGTGCTTATCTTCCAGGGAGCAAATTATTCTTGTCTGCTGGACAAGACTCTGACACACCTGGCCTGACCACCTCTGAGACATGAGGCTAGAGACACCCAGTGCCAGATTCTCAAGGCACCAGAAGAACATCCCACACTCATTAAAGATCTGGCCTGTACAAAGGGGGAGTAAAAGGCAAGACCAAAAACTAAACAGAATTTTGCCCCTCAAGGGGTCACTAATTACAAAAAATAGGTAGTAGCAGCCTTTCACCTTCATAGTTTTGGCTCAAGAGCTACCCAAGACCCAGCAGAGAACCCCTTCTGCAGTGTGCGCTCCATGGAGCTCTTTGCCTTTGAAGTCAATCAGCACTGTCTATCCAGTTGACAAGGAACAAATATCCTCACTGCGATTGCCATCTCCCTTGGCAATCCCAGCAGAGATCAACTATTGAACTGCTCTGAGGAGAGGACTCATTTCCCCAGACTTCCTGCAGTGCTTGACCACACGTTTAAAAATGATACTGAGAAAACCAAAAAGCAAAGCAAAGAAAAGCTTTCAGGTTTCCTGTTAACCTGCAGAAGTGCTTCGAAAGCTAAAAATCTGACTGATGATCAGACTTTCAAGTAAAAAGCTGAACACTACAAAGTAGTCTGAAAAGGCTGGTTGGTTTTGGGGTATTTTTTAACGGCAGTTAAAAAAAAAACAAACAAAAAAAAAAAAAAAAAAAAAAAAAAAAAAAAAAAAAAAAAAAAAAAAAAAAAAAGCAAACAAAACACAAAACCCCAAAGGTATTTAAGGCCTAAAATTACTAATCAAGAACTAGGATATACACTGCAGGCTTTGGCTTTCCAGGTAGCAGTTTGCTTTAAAGACTGAGATTACAAAAAAGCCCCAAGCAACTGGCATCACATGCCTGACCTTTCATGGACAATGACTGAGATTCATCCTTGAACTAAAAACATTCAACAACTAAAACAACTCGCTCCTAGTGCAATAGATTTGTTAACAAATCCCTGTCATGAAATTCTGCCTGTGGACACATACATATGTGACATAAAGGTAAGTTCTGACACCCAAATCTAGGATTGCTCCCAGGAAGGAGATCAAATTGGAAATTTCACTATGTCACGTAATGCAACAACTACTGACAACCATCTTAAAACGTAAACAAGAAAAACATTTTGTTTAAGAAGCCATTATCAAATAAATTTTATATTCCTTAATGCTTGGAAAGCTAGAAGTTAGACCCAATATAAAATGTGATTTAAGTCTGGACTGACAAGCCCAAACCAGCCCTGCGCAGACCAACTACTCGCACAATGAAGCAACACTGACAAAAAATTCCACACAATTTGTACACAATTCTCAAAAGCCATTTTCAGAAACACGGTATTGTATACCATGAACAATAATCAGAAACATTCCTGACATTTAGATTAATTTTTGAACATTCTATCTTCAACGAAAATTAAAGATATTCAAACACAGCTTCCTTACACTACAATTTATTCTCATCTGACATTAACTTATAGCTTGATTCAAAACCTAACCTCACGAAAAGGAGAGCTACATGGAAGCTTAGACAGATACTCTAAAACTTATTTAAATAAAGGTGATATGTATATTGCTGTTGACACTTGAAAACAAACTGAGGATCAATGACATTCCACATGGTTACACAGCCAAGACAGTATTCCAGCACTGTCCCTGTGATGTTCGCCCACGCTGCTGAAACAGGTTTTGAGGCACTAGCTTTACTGATCTACTTGCATCTCTATCTTGCCGTCTCCCCTTCCGTTTCTTTTTACGGGAGCGTAACCATTACAGGTTACACAGGTTAACAAGTCCAGGTCGATTTGATTTTTTGCTCTATCCATTCGCTATTCATTTCCGATTTATTACATTTACTAGCACCCTGCCGTGCCTTTTGGAGCTACATGGGCGCGTAAGATACACAATTTAGATCAACGTCTAAAAGACAAAAGCCTTCCCAAATCCCTGATGATGGGAGACAATTTGACAGAGATTTTAGGATGAGGAGGCAGCGCTGCTCAGATCAAGGCTTTCCCGGAACGAAATCCCGCAATTTTTAATTCCTTATGTAAACACGGGGCTGAAACCAGGCTGAGATCTGAACGCTATTCCTCGGGGCGGAAAACGAGATCGCTCCCCACGGAGGGCGCGACGCCCCGGGCGAGCCGGGCGGTGGAGCCGCGTCCCGACACGGGGCCCTTCCCTCCGCAGGGCGGCACGGTTTGGAGCGGGGGGATGGAGAGAAGGGGAAAACAATAGCAATAAAAAAATAGAGCAGATTTCAGCGTCAGAGGGGAGATCAAGTGGATTTGGGGGCTAATGCTAGTCAGAGCCGGGAGCCCGCTGCGGGAGGCCCGGCCGGCGAGCACACCCGCGCCGCGGAGCCGGGCAGGGCCGAGCCGCATGTACCATGTATCCTCGTCCTCTCCGCAGCCGTCCTCCAGCTCCAGCACCGCCACCTCGTCCAGCACCGTGGCCGCCGCCCCCGCACCGCCGCCGCCTTCTTGCCCGCCGCCGGCGGCCGGCGGCCCAGGCGAGGGCTTGAAGTAGGCGAGGGGCTCCGGCGGGCACAGCAGCGCGGGCACCGGGCTGGGCGCGCCCGCGGCGGGGGGGCTGGCGGGGCGCAGCCCGCCCGGGGCCGCCGGCGGGGCCAGCAGCAGGTGCGGGCTGGGCGGGCCGGTGGCCACCGCGGCGGCGGCGGCGCGGCTCCGGAGCTGCTCGTTCTGCTTCTCTAGCTTCCGCACCAGCTCCTGCAGCTTCTTCACCTCCAGCTCGGCGCTGACGGCAGAGCCGGCGCCGCTCCCCTTCACCTCCGCCATCATCGCCGGCTTCAGCAAGGCAGCCTCCATCCTGCCGGCCCGCCGCCGCCGCCGGCACCTGCTCCGCCGCGCCGCCGGAGGGCAGCGCCCGGCCCCCGGGGGAGGCGGGAGCGCCGGGGTCCGGCCCTGCGCCGCGGTGCCGCCCGGCCCCGCTCCGCCGCTCCTGCGCCTCCCGTTAACGGCGGCGCGGGCGCGATCCCCTCCCACCCCGGCAGCCCGAGCGCCGCGCACACGCACTCGGCAGGAACAAAGAGCCGCCCGGCGCCCCCGCCATCCAGCCCCGCGGAGCGGCAGCACCGACACCTCCGCGAGCAGCCCGCGTGTTTAAGGAAAAGCGCCTTCCCCCCACTGCGCCTCCCTCGCCCGCGGGCTGGAGCCGGCCCAGGGCGCCGCGCCTCTCGTGAGCCGCGTAATTAGAGCCTGGTGGTGTCAGGGTTGTAATTATGCAGATTGAGAGTGTGAGTGGAATAGGAATCACAAATAGAGGCTTTGTTGGGCTCGAAAGGAACTAATTCAGCCAAAAGCCGCTGTTTGTAGGGTTGAAACATGCTGATTCTGGGAGTTTAGGCGCAAAGCGAGGAAAGCGACGCGGTTTTGAAGTTGCGGTGGTGGTAAAGCAGAGACTGAACCGAGCATTGTTGACAACTACGTAACTGTATATTGGTTACGTATAGGAGAGCTCCTGAGGTGAAAGATGCCCTCGTATTGAAATGTCTTTCTTAACACAATCCAAATACATCGATGGGCTTGTAGCTTGCAAACCTTTGAGAGAGAGAGGGACGAATAATGTTCACTTACGGTAATGGTTGTGCGTTGTCTTTCGTTGCTCAGCACAGTGCTTGTGTCCCTTGTGTCACCTAGGAGGTGAGCAGAGATTCGGTGTTGCCCAAAGCAGCTCGGGCATCACACAATCCTCATTCAGTTCATTTCCTCTGGCTACAGTTTTAGGGGACAACCTTCTGAGTCACAGTCCTAATTCTCCTACAGCTCTGATACAAAATCAGGAACAAATCTCATTAAGTCAGGGCACGTTTAGATTAGATATTATAAAATACTTCTTCACCAAAAGTGTCATCAAGCATTAGAAAAGAGTGCCCAGGGAAATGGTTGAGTCACCATCCTGAAAGTATTTACAAGATGTGTAGATGTGGCACTCGGGAATGGTTTAGTGAGGAGTTGGAAGTGCTGGGTTAATAGACTCAGTGATCTTTGATGTCTTTGTCAGCCTAAATGTTTCTTTGAGTCTAAGGGTTGTGAGTTGCTCAGCTACCCACTAAAAATAGCTATTCGTCAGTCACTATCCAGTTCTTGAACATCAGCCTTAGGCAGAGCAGTAGCACTGTCAGCCACTGCTGCCTTCACCCCGCTTCCTTGCTGTCTCAGGTTTCTGGTGTGAAGAGGAACAGACATTGACTCTCTGTTCAGGGCATAAGTCAACTTTGAAATCATCCAGCCTGTCACAATCTTGTCTCTTTTGTTTATAATCCGGAAACTTTCTTCTGCATGTGCACAGGACAGCCTCACTATTGTTTGTCAGTCTTTCAAGCACTCTTGCAGTATAGATAATAACAACTAGTCCTATGACTAGAAAGGAACTTAGAGTGGAGCACAAAGCATTGATTTCCAGATGATATAACTTCTAAGAGAGTAAAGAGAAAGAGAGTAAATACAGCCCCAGTGTACTACTATGTAACTAGATAGCACTTAATCCAAAAGTTTGGTTGTGTCTTCTCTGTCCCTTTGGAACAAAGAAGGGGGAAAGTGTTGAGAGTGTAAAAACCATCTGGCTCCAATTCTGTCATGTTTTATTTGAATGAGTAACAGAATCCAGTTTTCATGACTACGGATAGCTATAATCTTTATTCCCACAAGGAAAAGGAGAATTGAGCTTCTACATATTTAGTCCCAGGCAAAATATGTATCTCTCAGTTTGTTATCACTAATAATGGTACTAGCCTTAATTCTTAGAAGTGCATTGTTAATCCAGTAAAACTGCAAAATTATATAAAAAGATTAATTGGCAGCATATGTAATATTGAGTTTATTATACATCACTAGTTTACAATGAAAAAAAAGCAAAGAAGACATTTATTATAATATCAGTGCTGGAGGATGCAACGAGGCAGTAGAGATGCAGTTATATAACATTTTCTTCACTGAAAGAGTAGTTAGGCATTGCAATAAGTTGCCTACATGGGTGGTGGAACCACTGTCTCTGGAAGCAGAGAGGTGTCTGGATGCGGCAGCTGGGGATATGGGTCAGAGGTGATTGTAGTGGTGCCAGGTTGATGGTTGGACTAGATGACCTTGAAGGTGTCTTCCAACTTTGATAATTCCATGAAATACTCAAAAGAGATTCAAAAGGGAGGATTTTTTTTTTTTTTAAATTTGAGCCAAGGATGCAAAGTCTTTTAGTGGACCAGCAAAAAAAAACAGTAAATGGGTATCTGAAATTTTCAGTTGTCAGAACAGGAACATGACAGTGTGGTCTGGCTATTGCATCACTAAAAATATCTTGATGCAGACACCAGTTTGAAGATATATCAGGAGACACATTTGAAGACAGTATAGAGCATGTAGCATCATAGCAGAGGATCTTAAGAGTCACCAAGGGAATGCTTGTCCTCAGTTATGAGTATAAACAGTTGACAATTTTCAAATGCCCTCCACTGCTTGTGCCGCCTACACAAATGTTGCTTGCAGGCATTCATTTCAGAACTCAGTTGCCAAAGAGAAAAAACATAGGAGTTAGCGTCATGCCCTAGCATGGGTACGAATACATCTTTTTTCAGACAGATGCATTGATCATTGACATCATATCACTAAGAAAATAGTCCAGAGCTTGGCTCCTCCTTGACTGGGACTTCTTAAGTTAGAAACCCAGTAGTATGGGTAGAAAACAACTTGAAGTTGTGCATATTTCAGCTACCATGTTCACAGTCAGTGTGAAAGACTGGTTTTTTCAGGCATTTCCTGTACACATGGATTTAGTAAAGGGTAAAAATGCATTTCACTGTGTTGTATTTGTTGCTCTATTTTAAGTGTACTTGTAATTTCACTAACACATAATTCCACTTATAGCATAGCTTCACACAGTGGTGCTGGCAGCTAAAATGTATGTTGATAAATACACTGTCCTGTGGTTTTCAGGTTGATCAGTTTGAATACTGCAAAGATGATTTGAACATCTTAGTCTTTGAAATAGTTAACCTAATTGTTTGGTTTTTTAAACATAAATTACTCTCCTCCCAATATTGACATTACTAATAAATTATTAATGAGTTCCATTCAGTATGCCAGCAACAGATATTGCCTTTGATAAACCCAGAACTTTATCAGCACTTTACAAACCACACTGAAGGCTTGATGGTTCCATGCTTTTTTTAAGGCATTGATAAAATGTGTCTAACACCAACCCCAAACATCCTAATGTGCCCATGAAACCTGTTACTCTTGGACTTGAGAAATTATATGCCCTAAATCAGTAGAAATCTACTATAGAATGCTACTTACACAGTATCCTATGGTAGGAATTTCTGAATCAGTGTAGTTACTAATAGGCTATCGATGCAGAGAACAAAGAAGCAGGAAGTCCGCAAATCCCATCTGCTCATTTCTGGTAATAAGCTTGTTGCTTTATGCTGCAATAGCTGCAGGCTGGATCTGCCTTTCAGGCAAGTCAGTAAAGAATTAATTGCTGTAATCCAGTCTGGGCTATACAAAAGATGTGTGACAATAAGGTCAGAGCATGGACAGCAAACTCCAAGTCTCATGAGATTATTTTAAAATGCAGTTCCAGTCTGAAAAATTACTGTGAAAATAGTTTTATAAAAATAGAGCCACTATCATGCCAGCAGAAGCCCATCCTATCCAGTATTCTGCCTTTAGCAAGGGCTGATAGTAGCTTTGTAAGGAAAATATCTCAGAAACAAGAAAAATATTGAGGGATATTTTCCCTCTTTCAGAAGTCATTGAATCAGGACATCTGGATCATTTAGTTTTCATAGCAGCCAATGTGTAATAATATTCCATTTGCTGAGACCCATTTTTAAGCCATTTAAACATTAGGGCTTTACAACCCCCTGTGGCAATTAGAGCTGCAATTTAATAATGTATTGTTAGAAAAACTACTTCTTATTATCTACTTTAAATCTGCTGCTTAGTAATTTGATTGGGTGCCCCTTAGTTCTGGTTTTCTGAGAAAGACAGAATGATTAATCATTCTCTATTCAGCTCCTCTTTGTCATTCATGACTATATAAAATTTAGATACTTCTCTTCCCAGCTGACAAGCCCTAATTTATATAGCCTTATCCCCACAGAAGTCAGGCCAAACCTCCCATTGTTTCCTGTCTCACTCCATAATGAAAACGGAATTTTCTAATCCATTGTTTTCTTTCTAGTCTCACTTCTTGTTTTCTTATAAAGCCAAGTGTTCTCTGTTAAAGAAATCAGCTTAACCAAAAGCATATTGGCTTCTTCAGAAACACTCATATATTCATGAGCATGTCCTGCTTTAAAAAATCTGTGCAGACTCTCCTCCAATGTATCATATATATTCATAGCTTCTCTATTCTGTCATTTATTCCAATTTGTACAAATTGGCTTGATAAAAAAAATAAGACTAAATGAAATGTAGTTTCCCCAGAGCAGTTTTCATGTTTTTTTCAAGGCTGATGTCCCAGCTAATGCTTCCAATTCGTTTGGCACCAAGCCTGCTTTGAGCGGGTAGGGTAAATGTTAGTGAGAAGCTCAACAATGTCACACTTGAGCTGCCATGGAGGTTTTACATGGATACTACCTAAACCTAGCAATTTGTTATTGTTAAATTAGTGCATTTACTCTGGATTATTTGAGCAATTAAACACTTTATCCTAAAGTTACAGCATGGATTCCTCATTCTCAGTGTCTTGCAAACATTTTGACTTCCTGGGTGTTGCTAATTTCATGCTAATTGACTTTCTCTTTTTTTTATACTGTTTCCTTCTCCTGAACTACCATGGTTCCTCCAGGCTTTTTCCTTATTTACTTAATATTAAATTGAAGTACATTGTAATCACCATTAGAA